GTTGAAATAATTGTAATAATGAAAAAATCTCAAGATTTATTTATACTGGTAGTTGTCATAGAGATAAACAATCTCTGTGGAAACCATAAATAAAATATTTTCTGGTACTAGCTAGAATTGACAATATTTAAAATTAAGCATTTATAAGAACGAATTTTCAAAATTGCATCAAAGTTCCATTAAAGCATAAATATAATTAAAGGAATTTTTGCAAATGTTTTTTCCTGAATAGAACATTAGTGTCATATTCAAGATTTTAAATGTTTAAAACAGCAAATATTAACAGAAAAACTAAATTCAATTTTGAAAAGATAATTTAATATTTAGCTTCATACTAATTCAAAATAAATATATTTTTAAAAATTTAATGATTTCAAGAGCCAATTTTAAAGTTGCTTTTGAAATAAAATAAAAATTACTTTATTACTTTGAATTTAAGATAATCATCTATAATAAAAGTACTTTTAGGAAAATATAAAAACGAATAAGTAAAGGTAAATGTAATTTAAAAGAATTTATAAAAATATAAAAGTATTATTTAACACGCTTAAAATGAACCATAGCAGAAAGTACTATAGAATTTTCATTAAACACAGACTGTAATATAAATTTCACTGTTTCATATAATCAAACTTTTCAAATATTGAAAATTATTTCACTAATAAAATCATTACAGTAAATAATTTTGAACAGTTGATATTCTTTTAAAAACCATCTATCTAAATCAGTGATTCCCAAAGTGGGTGCTATTGCCCCAGTGGGTGGTGAATAAATTTAGGGGGCAAAAAGAAGCAATTGGGCAGCAGGGGGCACTGGAAGCCCTTCCTGAACAATGACTATAGGCAAAAGTTGGGGTCACTGAAAACCTTTCCCTTTCCTCTGTTAAAACAAGTGAAAAGAAACATTGTATTTAATGGTTTCTGGATGTTGAGAACAACATACAATAAGGACACAAAGTGTGACGTTCATAGAAAAGTTTTTCTAAGAATATTTCCAAGACTTCCTCACACAAGAGAAAATGAACTAAGAGACATTGGATATAATTTTATGGAACCAAGGTGGTGGCTCGACAAAATTTGGGAATCACTGATATAAATGCTGAAATTTTTAAGGCTATATTTAGGCAAACTTAGTCAATGAAATGAAGGTTAAATATGTTTTATTAAAGAAATTTGATTAAAATACTATTGTTTAATATATTAAAATAATCATATTATTATGAATATTCAAAGTAATGCTAATTTCCACATATCCTTAGGTAATAAAAGATTAAAAAATAAAAATATTAATTAAATGAAAATTTTTTATTAATAGATTTTAAATTTATATCATTAAATGATGTTTTTTACTACAACAATAAAATTATTAAAAAAGTTTTTTCTTAAAATTACTACAATTTATATAAGTAAATAATTAATACAATTACAAACTGTTTGAAATAAAATTTACTGCTGAGCACTTCTTGCAATTTGCTCCTTTAAAATCATAATACTTTGTCGCTGTTCAGGAGGTAACATGGCAATTTGTTGATCAGACAATTGTAAAACTTGCATGATTAGAGCTGCTTTCTCCTGGTCTGGAGTTGAAAGTGATGTCTGTGCTGGTGCAGCAATGCGTGATCCAATAGGCTGTGTTGGTTGCACTGATGGTGATGAAACTGTTGTACCTGGCATAACTCCTCTGATGGGTGGCGAGGGTCTGTTTGGCATTCCCAATCCAGGAATTCCGGGTGTCAGAGGATGCGATGGTCTGGGCACTTCGAATCTAACTTGAGTTGGAGAAGCACCTCTGATTGCTGTTTCAAATGCACTTCTTTGATCAAATGCATTACCTCTGTTTCCTAATCTCGGATCAAAAGGAGTGGCATTTCCACCCATTCGATCCATGGGTGCGTTTCGAAATCGTGGATCAAAAGGAACACGACTGTCAGCCATATTCTGGGCAGGAGACAAATTTCGCAGATCTTGATCCACCAGTACCTGCCTCATGTCACGGTCTCCCAATGGTAGTTGACGCATATCACGATCTCCCAAAGTCTGCCTCATATCTCTGTCAGCTATGCCTCTAGAAATCATACGTGGATCGAAAATATCCGAAGGTTTGGTTTCGGGAATCTGAGGCACAGCTGGCTGCCTAGGAACTTCATTAACAATTCCAACAGGAGGCCTATCTCCAAGCAAAGATGTACGCAAAGCAGTAACAGGTCTACTAATCGGAACATTCAAATCGGGTGGCGTGTCCATTCCCAGACCGGGTATTGTTGTGGTAAATGGTTGTGAATTAACATTTGTAACTGTTGCAGACTGCTGAGGATTAAAGGAATTTGTTTGATTAGGTATCATGGTCTGAACACCAGACACCTCTGTTTTTGACACAGACTGCTGGACTTCACCATTCGGTGTAGTTAAAAGAGAAGGATTAATATTCTGCCTGTGCAAAACACTTAAAGCAACCTGTGGATCAATTATTCTCATAATAACTTGAGCCTGCAACAATGCATAAGCCAGTTGCGGATTCTGCAACAGCATATTACGAGCTTCGTTCGGATTGTTCTGAATACACATTTTCATCTGTTTCATCAATTCGTATAACTGTTCGGGTGGCAAACTAGACACTGCTTTAGATATAGCATCCGGTGCATCGTTTGGCTCTACTTCCGGACCGTAAGGACTTTCTGCAGGTGGTCCACCCAAGGAAGCCTGAAGATTTTTTAATTCTTCTTTACTTTTCTCGCTCGCAGCATTATCGACTCGCAGTGCTCTTCCATTAAGTTCGTAACCATTCAGATTTCTCATGGCACTCAAAGCCGTATCCTGATCTTTATATTCGCAGAAGCCATAACCTTTGGGCTTACCAGTTTCTCTATCGTAAACCAATCTGAAACTGACAACGGGTCCAACTTCGCAGAAAATGTCTTTCAATTGTTCTTCTGTAGCTTCGTAAGGTATATTACCCACGAAAACAGATCGCATAGAACGTTCTGCAGCCGATATAGCTCCTTGTATTGCTGCCATTATTTAAATTGTAATAAAATTAGACAAATCGCAGATAAACAAAAGAAATCTATAATTCTGAATACAGCGCCACCTCGCGTGTAACTTTTCTTCCGTGTTAAGAATACTTCATTTTATTATTATTTTTTTATTTTGGTTTAAAATTGATACTTTAAATATATATTTTGAAATGCATAATAATTAATTAGATTAATTAATTAATAAATTATAATAAAATATACAGATTTTTACAAAAACTTTTTTGATGAATTTTGAAAAGTTTCGAATACAAACTAACAATTATTACTGACATTTCGATTCAAACGCCGATTTTTATCCTTCATTCGTTCTTTCCAAACCAATTGCTAGTCAAATCGCTTCTAATTAATAAAAATGAAGCCGGTAGTATAACTTATCGATACCGAGGAATAAAAGCTCTCGCAATTATATTTTTGTTTTATTTGTTTGTGTAAATTCATACGCTTGAATAGAAGTGTTACTTTTAATTGGCTTCACAGTATCGCTATTCTGACCGACTGTATTTAATTAATAATCAACGAACCTCAAAAGTAATTCAGGTTATCAGTTATCATAAATTTAATTTTTCAATTAACCAATGATAATTAAACTTTAAAAATTAAGTAATGACAGTAAGTTGTCATGAAAGCAGGGCTGTGGAGTCGGTGTCGGAGTCGGAGTCGTGGAGTTTTGGTGTTTTAGCCGGAGTCGGAGTCGGAGTCGTCAAAAAATCCGCCGACTCCGACTCCTTTTTACTTACCAACTTGTTATGTATATAAAACGGAAAAGTATTGGAATCGTATCAAATTTGACCCTCCAAGTTTTTTTTTTTTTTTATAAATCTACACTTTTGGAGACCTTCCGAACCTCTCAAAAAAGTCAATAAAAGGGGGAAAATTGCGTGTGTGTGTGTTGGCGTCTAATTTGTTTAATTTCTTTATTTTCTGTTCTGAGATATTAAACAATATCTCAAAATAAGTAAAGTTTAAGAAACGAAATGTGGCACTGTAACTTGCATATAAAGGGGCATTAATACTATTAAATTTTGGTTCTTAATTAAAGGTCGACAGGGTGAAGACATAAAAGTGGTCATGTGTCATATCTCTTAATGAATATTTTACTCGTTATTAGCGTTCAAAATTTAAAAAAATAAAATAAAACTCGTCTTTACTCTCAAAATAAGTTTTTTTTTTTGTCATTTTATAATAGTACAGTAAAACCGTTAAGATGTTCTTGTCTAAGATGTGAGAATGTGTATGGGGACACGATTTAATTCAACCACCTTGACGCTTAATAACTAACTCCTGTGTTAAACCATCTGACTCCGATTCTGACCACTTTGACCACAGAAATTATTAGGCTTCAAACAGGGTGAACAAAATCATGCCCCCACACATCTAGAAAAAACTTCGAATCTTTTGCTTAATTAACTCGAAATTTCAAGGTGTTCTGAGTCCAAAAATGTAAAAATTTGGGAGGGATCATTTTTTTTACCGAGCGCTACACTTTATTATATATCCTCTGTTAAAACAACCGGAAAAGTAAAAATTATCGAATACATATTTATATATTACTTAGAGGAGTCTTTTAGCTTTGAAATAAAAAGTTTCTACGTTCTATCTTTATTAGAACTCTATTTATTGAATCTTTTATTCCGAGGTCACGTGATGACATCAGAATTTTCGGGTCTCTTTCGGTAACAAGTCCGCCCCTGGTCGGAGTCGGAGGCGGAGTCAGTAGATTTTTACGCGACTCCACAGCCCTGCATGAAAGTAGCAACTGATATACTTTTTTCATATTCAGTCACAAATATATTTTTTGGTATATAAAATTAATATTTTAAAATTAAAGTTTTATTAGGATTTTATCTCATTTAATAATATTTGTTGTGAATAAGAACAATAATATAATTAAAAATTTTATATTTAACATGTCTTGTTTATTACAAAAAAGATTTTTGGCGAAGTTGATCATTCTAGCTGCCGACAGATGTCGCTGCATAACGCGGACATTTTCAAATTTACTTGAACATTCGTCGTATGTAAAGAAGTTATTTTTCGAGTAAACAAATAATTTCCTCGTGTTATAAGTAAAATATAATTTATTATTAATTAAAAAATGTTTAGATATTGAAGAAGTAAGTAAATTATCTTTTAATTTTGAATTCTATGTGATAGATTTTGAATTTAGCCTTGTAGTTTACAGTGTATTACGGTCAAACTCTACTCTCAAGGCCGCACAGTGGGGATCCTAACCTAACCTATTCTAATAAATTACCAATAATTTGGTAATTTATTAGAATTACCAAATTATTGCTAATTTATTAGAATAGGTTAGGTTAGAACGTGGGTCCTCACTGCAGCCACGACGTGCACGTAGGTAAAGTTTAACCTGTATTACATTAGGTTGGTAGCAAGTTCAATCAGAACAGTAAATAAGACGAAAATTGGAAGTTTGTGTGTTTATATATGTATAGTAACATATATATTACTGACAATAGGGAGATAAGAATTGCATATCAATAGTGATGTATAATTGATTTCAAAATTCTCTGATCCAACTTATGGATCAAGGAATTTGAAATCAATTAAGATGACACATTTGGTGGGAGAAAGACAGTTTTGTATATTACCTGATTTTAGAGACAAGTCAGAGATGACCAGGAGTGTTATCAATTAGGAGGATGACTTTTATTGGATGTTTCTTTTTCTTCAGTTCTTCCTTTATATATTTATGATATATGATACAAATGATATTTCCATGATACAAATTTATCATGGAACCACAGAGAGAAAATTTCTGAGTCCATACGCGCTTTCTTTTGAACATGATAATCTGGTAGTGTACTCGTCTTGTCATGCTGAAAACATCGTGGCTGTTGGGCTTTTCTAATAACCAGGAGAGAAAGTTTATGACTCGCATCAGTGTTACAACACACCATTAGTATGATGTGTTGTTTTTGTTATTTATATCCACAAACTTCCTTTGTGCTTGGCAGCAAGGGTTTTTGAAGGGAGCATTTTGAAAATGAGATCAGTTTTATCATCATTATATACATTAAATAACTACTCACCACACCACACTAACTTAAAAAATTACGCACACGGAACCAATTTACGGTGTGATAACATCGAAAAATATTGAAAAAACTAACATTTTCGAACCCCTTCTGGGCTCTGCATCAGATTCTAACTGTTTTTAGTTAAATTTCCATCTAAAAACTGTTAGAACCTGTTGCAGAGCCCAGAAAGGGTTCAAAAACGTTCGTTTTTTTATATTTTTCGATGTTATCACACCATAAATTGGTTCCATGTGCGTAATTTTTTTTTATCATTATATACTGCAGCAGGAGTTAGTTCTTCCTTTATCATGTTCTCTAGCTTCTTTTTAAACTTTTCCACATCTTTTTCATTTACTGATCCACTTTCCCCAGTGACTGATAGCTGCTGCACACTGTTTTTTAGAGATGCCAAGAATATTCGGCTACTATTCGGTATTCCGCCTATTCGGCTACTTTTTTTAATATTCGGTATTCGGCCGAATACCAAATACCAAATCATGAAAAAAAACCGCACATATTACTCAAAAACGTATTTATTTTAATCATAAATTATGACATTTAATACTTAAAATCTATCAGTGGTAAGTTGTAATGAATGAAAACAATTTTTTCAGCATTTGTAGATAGCAAACGATTGCACTTTTCCTCATAAACTATACCTGCTTCTGAAAATAGCCTCTCACTATATATGCTATTGCTGGGAGATGATAGATAAATCTTAGCAAATTCTGTCAGGCTTGGATACTGTTTTGCATTTGCTGACCACCACTTGTAAAGGTCTGCCATCCGATCTAGGCGAACAGTTTTCATGTAAAGTGATACAGTGATATTTTTTAGTAATAATTAGTAATGCAATTTGATGTAACAATGAACAAATAATTCATGTTGTGACATGATCTACTCGCAAATAAAACAAATGTGCCCGCAGTGTCGCTACTGCACCCACCGCAATGTATCAGGTCGTAACATATCACCTGCGAAATGTACACATATTTTGCCGAACATTCGGCCGCCGAATATTCGGCGCTTTGGCCAAGAGCGTAGCCGAATGTTCGGTATTCGGTATTCAGCAAAATCACTATTCATGGCATCACTAGTGTTTTTCCTTCCAGTTCCTTGCTTACTATAAACAGTTTACTGCTTTAGTATTTAAAATGTCTACTCTGAAGTATTTTATTAACAGGAGTTATTATAATGACGTCTTTGTTCAGTGAAATTTAAGAAAGCCTATCAGAAAAAAATGGTCTTTATTTTTCACCTGTACACTTTTTACATGATATTGAGTTTCGGACTAGTTCGTCCCTCATCAGCAGGTTTACATTCAATTTTTTCTAAAACAAATCATTAAAAATCAATATAAATTTATAAAATTCTGACAATAAAAACCAACAATACCCAGTTATATTAAATTACTTAGTTTTTTGACTTTCAAATACTTAAAAATCAAAATTATTATACTTATTATATTTCCAGATACCTGTATATAATAGTAAACATAAATTACATTATTAAAGTATAGTTTAAACAAATTTACAACTTACATATTGTATTCTCACTGTTACTTGAACCATTATCATATTACTAGATGCTTTCTCTTATATACCTCCTTCCTTTTCGTTCCTTCTGTTGATGAATTTAATCCATGATTGGTGGATTTCTCTTCCCATATGATTGTTCAGTCTGTCCTTTTGTTTTGCTATGTAAATGTATTTGTATAATTCCCTTTTGAAATTTTTTTTTTTTTCTTTAATTTTACAGTACTCAAATCTATTTTACATCCTGTTGTATTGCAGTGTTCTGCTACTGATGAATTTGCATAATTATTTTTAATCGCTCTAATATGTTCTTTTAAATGTATTTTCAATTTTCTTTTTGTTTCTCCTATATATGTTTTCTGTTGTTCACAATTGCAATTAAATGAATATATCACACCTTTTTCTTCTGTAATTTCATATTTTTTATCATTTCTATAAAATAAATATTTTTTGGTTAAATCTGTTTTTCTGGTATTAAATTTATTTTACTAGCAATTACTTTTTTAACTTTCGAATATATATCAATTGTACAAACTATTTTTCTTTATCAAATTGTTTTTTCGGCTGTTCTTCATTTTCTATTTACTGCTGCTAAGTTTATTGTTAAACACCATAGCTTTTTCTTTGATTGTTAAACACTTCATTAAAATCTTACAATTAGAAGCTTTTGCATTGTAATTCTAAATGGCTATTAATTTCATTGTGAGCGCTGACAGGTTTAAAAATTCACCACTAGAGTTTGGGAGAATTCCAGATGGTTTCAGAAATTTCTGACAGAAATTGTACAAACTAGTTCAGCTTCTGTTATTCAACTAGTTTGTATTTTACTTTCTCTGACAGATGGTTATTGTAATGATACTCTTTTGTCTTTGTACTACTGAAGAGCTTATTATAAATATTGATATTGTAAAAATGAGGGCATTTTAAAATTTAGAATCTATATATATAACCCATTCAAAGTGTCTGTCTGTCCCGTAACCGTTTGATAACGGACACTAGAGGCGCCCCTATCGTGTGTCATATTTCAAACATTCAAATTAACAATTTTAATTCTTATTTAAATTAACAATATAAATTATTATTATTCATTTGGCCCATAAATTATTATTTGGTCAATATAACAATATAAATAATTCAGTATATTTGTAATAGGAATTTATTATTTCGGGGGCTTATATCTCGCGAAGGATCGCGAGTAGGGGTATGGTTCCTTTGACTTTATTGTTCGCACGGGCTACAGTTTGGGGGGGGTCGCCACCTCTTCATTCGGAGGGTAAATCTTACCATTGGGACTTTAACAGAGCTGTACAGCATATTGATAGGAACAAAAAAGTCAAAGGAACCGTGCCTCATGGAAATTTGTAAAGAACGCCCACTAGTTTTTATATAAGTGATGCCTCAGACACTCCAAATGGGTTCCCTAGACTCCCAAGATCACTAAATGGGAAAGACTGTATTAGATAAATTAGTAATATATTAAAAATTTATAATCCAATTGATCATGAATCTGTTTTAAATCTTGATGTTATTCTTAAAATTTATTAAATAATACATAATATGATTGTAATGGTTAAAAATTTCATTCATTTGGTAGCCTGTAATTAAAGCTTTATTAAAGATTATTTTATTTGACAACTTTTATTTTTATTTGTGTAATATAAAAAGTGTTTTTTAAAGTTTGCTAAAAATATATGAAATTTTTTTGCAAAAATAAAAAAAGAATTTATAGTTTTGAAAAGAAAACATGGTTAAAATTTATTTCAAATAAAAGTTACAAATATTCTGAGTTTTAAACCATTTTGTAAATGGAATCTTAAAATTATTTTAAAAGTAGTTTGATATTATAATAACATATCAATAAGAGGAAAATATTAAAATGCATGGAAATTATTCACATTTTTAATTTTACATTTAATATATGAAAATATTTCAATGTAAGCCTGCAAATGCAAACTGCAAATGTATAAAAGTTTGATATTAATCTCATATTAAATTCAGCTTTTTCAATTAAACAAAAAATTCCTTTATTTTTCTTTAATTTTCAATTTAGAAAAATAAAGAATAGTAGTTAAATGATAATTCTTTAATATCTAGACCAGTGGTTTCCATCCTTTTTTACTTGCATACCTCTTGGCATCCCATTTTTGCTAAGTTTAATTTGTGTGTTCATCAAACAGTGACACCTTGGTCAATTATACAGTGCTGTACAATTACATTTAAAAAAATTTTTTAAATTGAAAGTTGTGAGAAAGAACACAGATAAATATAATAAAAATATAGTTGTTTTATTTAAAATGTAGTATCGAGTGCTGTGATGTTGCCAAAGGCCTTAATGCAGAATAGAATATTCTTATAATATATCCACCATTATTAATTTTTTTGTGTGCATCCTAAACCACCAAGCACATACTGTATCCCCTGTTGGAAATTACTGATCTAGGTTAATGTAATTTAAAAATTGATCTGATACTTTCAATGATACTTAAATTTTTATTTTCAGAAAAATGCTTACATAACTAATAAAATCATGGAAGACAAAATATTAAGTTGTATCAAGCAAGCAAAGATACATTCTTTATCTACAGATATAAAGGTAATATTGAAAACTGCAAATGTAAATTACAATTTTATAAATTCAAAAAATAATTTTGAATATAGGAACTGTCTTTATTTTTGACAATGTTTTCAAACTCTGCATTCAGTTTTCAGTTCTAAACAGATTATGATGAATTAATTGAAATTATTTAAAACTGCCAAAACAACCAGTTTTTCCTTTATTTAAAGAAAAATGCTTTAAAAGTTTTTACCTTATTACTTATTTTTTAATATTATTTTATGTTTGTTGTTATTTATACTCTTGTTCAACATCAAAATTTAACAATTTCTTGTTTGAGTATTTAAGCTTAAAGACATTCGGAATTTATATCTTTTTGAAAGTGATCAGCAAATAAAAAATACTTCTTTTCAATGACTGGAACTAAATATTGAGCACAGTCAACTAAACCTTTAATTTCCAGTAATGAAAATTTTAAAGTCAATTTCACATTAAAATTTTCATTACTGGAAGTTAAAGATTTCGTTAATTGTGCTTAGTGATCAGTAAAATATTTTGAAATGTTTTTGCTTAAATAAAGCAGAGAATTTAGTTAATTTAGCATTTTATGTTATTTAAGTTATGGAATCTGTATACCAGTACAGTAGACCCCCCTATAACGCTTAGATACGTTCCACGCTAATCTAATTTTACGTTGTAGGAATAGAGAGGTTGAGGCGCATGTTTTAAACGTGTAAACGTGTACGTGTGACGTTCGGCACCGCTTTCCCGTAAGCCTAAAAGTTTGACGATGGTGTTTGGAATGTCGAGCGTGATTCCACCGACTATCCAAACACCATTGTCAAACTTTTAGGCTTACGGGAAAGCGGCGCCGAACGTCACACGTACACGTTTACACGTTTAAAACATGCGCCTCAACCTCTCTATTCCTACAACGTAAAATTAGATTAGCGTGGAACGTATCTAAGCGTTATAGGGGGGTCTACTGTACTGGTATACAGATTCCATAACTTAAATAACATAAAATGCTAAATTAACTAAATTCTCTGCTTTATTTAAGCAAAAACATTTCAAAATATTTTACTGATCACTAAGCACAATTAACGAAATCTTTAACTTCCAGTAATGAAAATTTTAATGTGAAATTGACTTTAAAATTTTCATTACTGGAAATTAAAGG